CTTTTTGCTTATGTGGTGCTGAGGAATCGAACCCAGGGCCTCAGGCATGCAAGGCAAGCGCTCTACCACTGAGCCACCTTCCCAGCCCCTAAAAAGCACCAATTCTTAAAGCTTCTCTCTGATATACTTTGATCCATCACAGGTGTTTACATTTATTTATTTATTTCAGTCATAGGGCCACTGTCATAGGCCACTGTCCTTGAGCTTTTACTGCTCAAGGCTAGCACTCTACCACTTTGAGCCACAGTTCCATTTCCAATTTTCTGGTAGTTAATAGTTAATAGATAAGTGTCAGGGATTTTCCTGTCTGACCTGACTTCAAACCTCAGATCCTCAGATCTCAGCCACCTGAGTAGCTAGGATTATAGTTGTGACCTACCCATGCTGAGCTTATTTACCTTTATTTAATTTATGCCAGGCCTGGGGCTTGAACTCAGGGCCTACGTACCACCTCTGAGCTTTTATGCTCAAGACACTGGTGATCTACCACTAGAGCCACAGCTCCACTTCTATCCTTTTGTGTGTGTGTGTGTGTGTGTGTGTGTGTGTGTGTGTGTGTGTGTGTGAAAGAGAAAGAGAGAGAGAGAGAGAGAGAGAGAAATTAACTGGAGATAAGAGTCTCACAGACTTTCCTGCCCAAACTGATTTTGAACCATGATCCTCAGATAACAGCCTCCTGAAATGCTAGGATTATAGACACGAACTATTGGTATCAGGCTTACATGGCCTTTTTAGAAGCAAAGGGTTTTAATTATAATGTGTTTCCCACCTTCTACATCCTGACATGGAAAATAAATTGTGGATTTTGGTATCAAAGATTTCTTGGGAACAGAAACTCCTCCAACTCTCAATTTTGGGTGTTGACTTCATACCTCTCTCTTTGCCAGCCTTAAACATGGAACAGCAGAAAAAGCATGGGATTTGGAGTCTGGTTCTAGTCCAGCTCTGCCACTTACCAGCCATGTGACTTGGGGCAAGCTCAGCTTCCTCATCTGTAAAACGGGGATACATTATCTCATTTCATACTCACAACAAGCCCTTTAACCTATGACAGTGTCTAGCATATAGCAACATTCAGCTGTTACTCCCCTTCCTCTTCCTTTTCTTACATTTTGAAAGACACGGTTCCAAATTATGCTTATATTGTATACTATATATGTCCATACATAAAATTTCCCCTGGAGTTTCCCTTCTAACAAATCAGAGTTACCAAAATATTAGCTTCTCAACCCTCACTCTGTTTCAAAATATGCCCAAGAACTATTTTAAACACTCTTAAAGAATAATATTACTATTAAAAGATAACATGAAATGTCCTTTTCGGTGTCTAGCTATTTAAAATAGAGGCTTGTAGGTGGAGAATTGCAAGTTGACCAACTGATACACTCTTGCCAGACTAAGAAGAATAAAACTGAGAACCACATTACAGTAGAAAACAAATAAACCTAGCCACGTGACTATTTTGACTTGTTTCCAAAGTGAAACAATTGCCAACATCCCAAGTTATGGTGATTTTATTTATTCAACTATTTATTGATATATTATCATACTGAGCACATTAACTGCATAAAAATCTTTTTTTTTGTTTTTGAGACAGGGTCTCCTGTGATCCTCCTGCTGCAGCCTCTTGAGTACTGAGATTACAAGTATGTAGTATCACACTTGGAAAAAAATATTTTTGCATAGAGATTTCCATTTCACTGTAGGACATTAATCTTAATACATACCTCAAGAAGCAATAATGACAGGCTAGCAGTTATAGTGGGAGGAGGTGGCTCTTTCCCAGCTCATTGGCTACTGTCGTCCTATTTTGCTTCTTCCACTCTTTTTCTTTCTACATCACACCCAGTGTTCCTAATACCCACATTAGGCCCAGTGTTTTCCCATGTTCTCAAAAAATTTCACTTCTCCATTGCTCAATTTTTTTTTAACCTAGGAACATTAATCCTATATAAAAATGACTATTAAAATTGCCTAGCACATAGACCACATAGAATTAGGTCATTAAATATTTTTGTTTGACTTTACTGATAGGTAACTGACAAGTAAAAGTTTTCTACCTTCTAGGTGTGGGCTGTGATACTTTGAAATATATAGTTAAATAATGATCATAAGCAACCTAAGTTACATATGAGAGATCTTCACATTTTCTATTAATAAGGCAAAAATCTTGAGTTAGAAATGAGACATATATGGATTTATGGGAAATATATGAACTATGAGAAATATGTGAATCCTGAGATTTAATGTTTTACATACATAGTGGCAAATAATGCTGTTGTCCTATGAAGTAATAATACATATTCCAGAAAACCCCATTTATTTAAAACAATGCTAATTTATTCTTATATATTTTAAAGCAATATCTAACATGCTTATTTAACATTTTTATATTTATTCACATTTATTTCCTATTTATTTATTAATTTGTCAATGTCAGATGAGTTGGGTTTTTTTTGTCAGTTTTGGGGCTCGAACTCTAGGCCTGAGAGCTGTCCCAGAGCTCTTCCGCTCAAGGCAAGCACTCTACCACTTGAGCCACAGCGCCACTTGCAGTTTTCTCATGGACTTTCCTGGCCAGGCTGGCTTTGACCAGCAATCCTCAGATCTCAGCCTCCTGAGTAGCTAGGATTACAGGCCTGAGCCACCGGTGCCTGGAGTCAAGTGAGTTCTGATTGTAATGTCGTAAGGTCTCAACTGAATCAGAGGTTTCAGAAGACCCCAACTGACCCAGCACATGCTACCTTTCTTTGCTCTTTGTTCTGGTACTAAGGCTCAAACTCAAACTTTGTTCTGGTACTAGGGCTCAGGGCCGTGAGCTCCTGCTTGATTTTTCTAGTGCTCTATCAACTTGAGCCACACCTCCACTTCCAGCTTTCAGGTGGTTAATTGAATTAAGATTTTCTTTGATGTATCTGCCTGGACTGGCTTTGAACCAAGATCCTCAGATCTCACCTCCAGAAGACCCATGCTGCCTTTGTAAGCCTGGAAGCCTCATTTATTCATTCTGATCTACATGTAGTTAGAAATGCATCTCCCCCACAACCCCTCCCCCACTGTGAGCACCAGGGAAGATGCAAGATGCAGTTAAAGTTCTTTTTCTTCAGCAAGGTATCTTCTCTTCAATGGCTCCCCATCCTTTAACTTGTGTCTACTACTTCTTTTTATTTTTCGGTCAGTCGTGGGGCTTGAACTTTGGGCTTTGGCATTGTCCCTCAGCTCTTCAGCTCAAGGCAAGCACTCTACCACTTGAGCCACAGCACTACTTCTGGTTTTCTACTAGTTTATTGGAGATAAGAGTCTCAGGGACTTTCCTGCCCCTTCTGGTTTTGAATGGTGATCCTCAGATCCCATCCTCCTGAGTAGCTAGGATTACAGGCCTGAGCCACCAGCACCTGGCTTTTTTTTTGTCAGTTGGGGGGCTTGAACTCTGGGCTTGGACACTGTCCCTCAGCTCTTCAGCTCAAGGCTAGCGCAACTTGAGCCACAATGTGCCACTTCCAGTTTTCTCGTGGTTTATTGGAGATAAGTGTCTCAGGGACTTTCTGCCTGGGCTAGCTCTGAACTGTGATCCTCAGACGTCAGCCTCCTGAGCATCTAGGATTACAGGCATGAGCCACCAGTGCCCAGCTCTACTGCTTCTTGTGTATTACAATTTGCTAGTTTCCATGACAGCTCTTTAATTATGCTACTGTATAACCTTAAATGATTTTTTACTTGAATGCTTGCATAAATTAAATACAAAGTATTACAATAATTTTATTAGGCAATATATTCATATGAACAAATGAAACAAGGCAAAGTAAAATACATTATCATAAATACTACATATTTTCTGAAGCAGTAGAGAATCCATATAATAGCCATTTTCAGCATCATCCTTCATAGAGTTTTAAGGTTTTACTTTAACCTCAGGTAGAAAAGTGCTATATTTCTAATTCCAATATGACTATAATTTCAGCTGGTAATAACTTGAAAAGTTAAAACCTCATCAAAACTATTCATTTATGCCAAAATTTTCTTTCACAAAGGATTCACCTTTTTCACCTGTGAAACCAAGACATTGTTTTCCAAATCTAAATATTGGCAAGGTTTGTTCATAATAATTTCAAAATTCAGCTTGACTATAACTTACCTTATTAAGACTCAGTCAAGAAATTATGTACCTAACACAATCAACTTAGGAACTAAGAAATTTCTACTAAAAATTTAACCTATATCCAAGAGAATTAATAATACAAACCTATAAAGTACAGATGTTCACTTTTTATATTTGATTCTATGATCTTATAAACAAATGCTGCTCAATCTTTTCTAGGCCCAGCATTTAATACCAGAGAGTGATAGGGATAGATTGGGGGGTGGGGGGGGCAGGATGATGGAAGGGTGACAAGATATTCATAAATTGCCATGTTGAACTGAAACCTTTTTGTACAATTAAAGATATTTTTTTAAATATTAAAAAAGTACTGATCTACATGTACCGTGGAGATCTTAAAACTAAGTTGTAGACCATTAATGGGTCATAAAATCAAGAATAGCAGTTTTTTGTTTTGGTTTGGTTTGGTTTTGGTTGGGTGTGGGGCTTGAACTCTGGGTCTGGGCACTGTCTCTTAGCTCTTCAGCTCAAGCTTAGTACTCTACAACTTCAGCCACAGCATCACTTCCAGTTTTCTGGTGGTTAATTAGAGATGAGTCTCATGGATTTTCCTGCCTGGGCTGGCTTTGAACTGTGATCCTCAGATCTCAGCCTCCTGAAGAATAGCATTTTAACAAACAAAAATTTGAAAAGAAAGAAACAGAAACAGGCGCAGGTGGCTCATGCCTATAATTCTAGCTACTTAAGGGGCTGAGAGTTGAGGATTGAGGTTTGAAGCTAGCCAGAGCTAGCTTAGAGACTTTAGAGACTCTAATCTCTAAATCCAAAGGCATGGCTCTGAAAGCTACTTTACTAAACCTTTGATAAATTCCTTAAATTATGTGTTGCTTTGGCTCTTAAAAATAAAGGAAATAGGGCTGGGAATGTGGCTCAGTGATAGAGTGCTTGCCTAGCAAACATGAAGCCCTGGGTTTGATTCCTCAGCACCACATAAATAGAAAAAGCCAGAAGCAGTGCTGTGGCTCAAGTGGTAGAGCTCTGCACTCAGCTGAAGAGCTGAGGGACAGAGCCCAGGCCCTGAGTTCAAACCACAAGACTGACAAGAAAAAATAATTTAAAAATTAAAAAATAAAGGAAATAAAAGCCACTTTCATTTTCACGTAGCTTTTCAAATAGTACTGATTCTGTGAGGATTGAACAGACTTCTTTAAGAAATCAGGTCTTGTAAAGCCATGTTCTAGACATTTCTAAGTTTCAGTAATTTTTGAAAGTTGTAAATTGGAAAGGGAAATCATGGGTGGTAAGCATTACTGACAATATAGACTAAGGGGGAAATAACATAAAACGTTTGCTTAATTGCCAAACAATTGTTAATATTTTCCTTAAGCATTTGTTTACATATATTCAATAGTCAAATCTTTATTGTATTACTATATTCTCTTTCATGCTTAGGTAAGTCAAATAGTGGGCAGGAATTAAAAGTTTAGCTTAAAAGAAAGATAAAACCGAAATATTTAGGAAATAAGTATATATACAAATATAAGCACAAAATGGTCTTTTGCTTCTAAGAATTTATGGGATGTGTATTTTAGTTTTAAGTTCATTTGTGCTTTATATTAAGTTTGTCCTTCGAGAGCTTCTGCAATTTATGGCACCTCTTTAACTTCACAAAAACTTCTTTTCTCCACACAGTGGAATCCAGGAAGAGTCTCGGAGCCACTAATTCTAAGGAGCCGGGGTGGGGGTTGGGGGGCGCGAGAGGTGTAAGCACCCCTTCAAGATTCGAATTTGCACTTGAATTCAAAATTCAGAACTGGTTACGGATGGGACCAGCCAACTACAGTAAACAATGTTGCAACCGCACAAAAGGTCACGGGTGACACAGTCTTTCAA